TTGAAAAAATTTTCATATTAAATAATTAAATGATTACAGTACACTCCTTGAATTAATGTAATTTAGTTAGTAACAATCTACTTTTATTATTTTTTAAACATAATATATCTTCAAACTGCCTAAAAGTTAAAAAAATCAAATATTTGTTGTAAAACTAGCCAAGAACAAGATATTATAAAATTGAAAAAATGTGTTTGTTACCAGTGATGACACTTCCTGGTTCCGGATTTGGAATCACCCCTTAATTTGATCTAGATAACGATAAGCTTTGTTTTTTTTTTGATCTAGATTTGCTTTTCTGTTTTTTGTGTTTTATTTTCTTTGCTAAATACTAGTAGTGGAAAATAGAACCGGGATCTCAAGATATGTAGTTTTTTTTGTTATTTGCTTTTTTTTTTTTTTTTTTTTTTCTCTTTGTACTAACACTTTCTTTCAAGATTTTGGCTTTCGTCATTTTGTACATATCATTTGTAGTGATTACAGACTTTGTCATTGTCATTGCTATAACTTTTTTTTTTGCTTTCTGAAATACTGGTAGTAGAAATTAGAATCCTGAGATATGTAGTTTTTTTTTTGTTATTTGTTTTTTTTTTTTTTTTTTTCTTTGTACTAACACTTTCTTTCAAGATTTTGGCTTTTGTCATTTTGGCACCATCATTTGTGGTGATTACAAACTTCATCGTTGTTATTGCTATATCTTTTTTTTTGCTCCTGAAATACTGGTAGTGGAAATTAGGATCCCGAGATATGTGGTTTTTTTTCATTATTTGTTTGTTTGTTTTTCTTTCTTTGTACTAATACTTTCTTTCGAGATTTTGGTTTTCGTCATTTTGGTGCCGTTGTTTGTAGTGATTACAGACTTTTTCGTTGTCATTACTATACCTTTTTTTTTGCTTTCTAAAATACTAGTAGTGGAAATTAGGATTTCAAGATATGTGGTTCTTTTTCATTATTTGTTTGTTTGTTTTTTTTTCTTTTTTTCTTTGCACTAACACTTCTTTCAAGATTTTAGCTTTTGTTGTTTTGGTGCTGTTGTTTGTGGTGATTACAAACTTCGTTAATGTCATCACTATACCTTTTTTTTTTGCTTCCTAAAATACTAGTAGTAGAAATTAGAGCCAAGATTCCAAAATATGTGGTTTTTTTTTTGCTATTGCTTTTTTTTCTTTCTTTGCACTAACACTTTATTTCAAGATTTTGGCTTTCGTCATTTTGGTTCTGTTGTTTGTGGTGATTACAGACTTCATTGTTCATTATGGAATAGAAGATTCTGGACTTTATACTTTGTTGCTTTAGTGTTGTGCTGGCAATTTCAGGCTTTTGGAGTTTTATATCATTATTTGTATTTTAGGATTTCATTATTGATTTTGGTTTTTTCTTGGTAAGTCTTAGTGTTGTTTTCACTTTGCTATCAAATTTTTTTTTTCTTTTCTTGGCTTGAACTAATCATTTCGGTGCCATTGTTAATGATTTTAGGCTTTTGCTATTTCAATAATGTTGTTTATAGTTTTTTATTTTGGTGTTAGTGATTTCATTGTTGTTGGTATTCACATTTTGGATAAAGATTTTTTTTTTTTGTTAGAGTGTGAAATTGCGCATATGTATTATTACTATATTATTATGTTATTATGTTGTAATTAATAAATTTAACTTTAATAAAAATTTTGTAATTTGTTTTTGAGTGGATTCAAGCTAAAAAAATTTTAATCGGATCTAAACTAACTGGGTTTGTTACATATGAATTTGATTGGTTGCATGTGATTAGGGATGTCACTGCCAGTTACAAATAGATTTGCTCTAAATTTTTATTTATATATTTATATTAATTTAAGATTCTCTCAAATATATAAATTAATTAATTAGTATTCAATTCTTAATTTGTGGAAAGTAGTTAAACTGGTAAGTAGATTCATTATTGCGATAAAAAAAGAGTTGAGAATTACTTTTTTTTTGTTATAGACTTGTTTTAATTGTCTAAATTTATTTACATTTGTATTACGCTTCAATTAATTGCAATACTTATACATATCTTAGTACTAATTAATCACATTGAGAGCACTCTTAATCTCTAATTTTAGTGATTATTTATTGATTTAATTGGTCTCTAAGTATTTATGAGCTGTTCATGTCTTATTTAGCTTCTTTTTACATTAGTCTGTATAATTATTATCTGCCAAAATATACAGATTAGTATAACCAGATTTGGCAGAAATATCTCTATTTTTAATATCTGTTCTGGTGTTATGTATTATTATAGTTAGCATTAGAAAATTATAGTAGATTGGAATGATTTGTTTTTTAACGAGATATTTACACTTTATATTAAACAAATTTTCAAATCTTATAAAATTTCTTGTTTGTTTAAATTTTAGCATCTCATATCAATATAGTTGTGCTATATTTAGTTATATATCTGATATTTAATTATTTAATTCAAAATTATCGTTATATATTTAACATTTTCTAATTAAGCTTACATTCTGGTTTAGTATAACAATGCCACGCAGCTACTATATAAACAATTAATTTATTAATTTTATAATGATTAGTTATATAGAAATATAATTGGTTGTTTGATTAAACCTGTCTGGCAGACAAATTTAATTGTCCGAGTCCGGTTTGAATCCATCCAAGTCTGAGTCTAGTCTGAGTAACAATACTGCTTTAATTCATAGATATTTATATGCTAGATTTTGCTTCTACTCAATTTGAATTTTGCACTTTATCTTAAAACTTACTAATATATGCTAGTCTATTTTTGAAATAAATCTAACAGAGTGGTACATGTTCTACACATATATTTATTTGCATGTTCTTTTAATTAGTATATATTAATTTGCCATTCTGTATATGTATTTTACGTCACCTTTGGGTACTGCTGTTTTATAGACATTTCTCAAGCACCAATCTTTTTAACTAAGCATCTATTATATACTTACTACTTTTATTTGGTTTACAACACCCTGATATCTATATTTGGACCATCTTTTTACTCAAATTCTTTATTGGTCTCTTTCTTATTTTTAGCTAACAACTCGGAAAGGTTGGTCTGCCCAGGCTTTAAGTGCCTCACAGTCACTCTTTTTTTGATTCATACTTTTAAAATATATGCTCTTTTCTTCTGGTGTGTTAGCTTAGCGATTTAGCTAATATGTTTCCACTTAAAAACTTGATTGCTCAGTTCTTTGATCTTGGGCCCAGTTCAAATTCAGCCTTTCTGTAGTATCGTTAAAGATCATTGCTATCTCCAAACTTAGAACTTACCAAATGGGTTTTTAGTTATTACAGTTCTTTAGATTTATTGTATCAAAGCTTCTATAACTAAATAGTGTGACCAAGATTACAGATTTGATTTTGGATCCAACTGATAATTGATAACTATCAACCAAAACACAAGCTATTTTTCAAATATCGTTGTTTGTGAAATTTGAACTCTAAACTTGTAACTTGGAGAGGGTAACAACTAGACCACTACACTAAATTATTACATCTCTATATGATTTATAAAATATATAAATTTTATAACTCTTAACTACATATTATTATATATTAGCCTATATTATAGTCTTTTTTTTTATTAGTTAGAATTGCAAAAAATAAGTTTTTACAAATAAAAAGGTTTAAATTGCAAAATTTATTGAATTATTGCATTTATAAACTAAATTCAAATATAAAATATATCTCTTGTTTAACTTTTAAATTACTTTGAAAATTATTATTTTACTTTGACAGTTTATAGATTAGAAAGTGCTATTAATAATACCAATACATAAAGCCTGTTATGTTTTAGAAGACCTGATTGGCTATGTATGTATATAATACAAATTTCAAAAATTAGTATATTTACAAATCGGGTTTTTAATAATAAATTTGCACTATATATACTTAGTGACTGCAGTTAGATGGTTCATGAATCATAAATTAAGAAAAAATTAGTAAAAAAAATTCTATTTACTTTTTAAACCTTAGATATAAAATCAGAAACTAAAAATAAGAAGTTACAAAAAATAGTAGCAGTATTCACTTATTAAGGAAAAAAGTAATTAAAAGCAACAACACCTTCTTTTGTTTCTTAAAAAAGAGCAAAAGTATAAAAACTTCTATAAACTCTATTTTTTTTTCTTATTTCTGTGTCTATTTACAAATACTTATATCTTTAGTTAGCTTGATTTCTTTTAAAATATCTTGAAATAATTCACTAATATCTATAGCTGCCAACAATCTTCCTTATATAATGCTGGATTATTATTATCTATTAGCTACCAAATACTCACATCTTACAATGCTAAACATTATAAAATACAAAATTAAAATTTATTTTATTATGCTTTTTTTTATTTTTTTATATTTATATTTTTTTTTTATGAGAATATTATTATAATACTATAGCACTATAATACTACCTTATATATAAATACAAAATTGGTATAATATATAAATCAAAGCAATTTTTTTTGTACAAAAAATAAACTTTTAATTAGTGTTATATTAAAGCTAAGGCTAAAGTTTGGCAAAGCATAGTTTATATTAAAATTTTGCAAAGAATTTTTTTTATTAAAATACAAAAAATAGTTTTTTAGTCAACGTTTTTTAAAATTTTATTGGGTTGTTACACAAAGAAGTAATCTACATGTTACACCTAATCTTAAATTTTAATTGGTTATAGTGCTATAGCACTATAAATATTCAAATTATTTTTTTATTAATGCTATTTTAATTATCTTTTACTAATAATCTTTAACAGTCAATTGCACACTTCAATATAACATGTAACAATCAAATTCATTTTTAAAAAAAATATTATAACCAACTGTTAGTTTATACAAAGGTTATTATAACCAGAGTCATGAATATTGCATATTTTACCAATAAAATCAAAATTTCATACAAATGTAATCATTAGGCATTGAATATTTTATATACAGATGTGCATTTGAAGCAAAGCACTTTCAATCATTATTAGGTTTATATCAAAAATTTACATTTACCGTATTTATTTTCTATTCGTCTTCATCAGATGACTCTTCACCTTCGAGGTAATAAGAAGGATATACATTCGTAACTCGATCAAAATACCACCAACCATTAGTCAATTGATGAAAATCTGCAGTGATAAGCATTCCAAGTGTAACACAGCGTGCAACACTAGGCTCAAGATAAACGGTAATTATATCTGCATCAGGTCCTTGATACGCACGAACAGACATCTTTTGTAAGTATTCATCATTCAATGAATCTTGACCATTCTTAGTGCATTCCGCAACATTAGTGTCTACGGTAACATTTTCGGTCATATTAGTATTGTTCGCTGTGATAGATTCCGTGGTTGATGATGCTTCATTGATCGTTCTATCAGGTGTTACAGGATTTGGAATTGGTTCTATATCAATAACTTCAACGAATAACGCTTTTTTTGAAGCTTCCAACACCTGCTTCAACTCACTCAGAACATTTTGACCAAAAACCTTTTTGACGGTCTCATCAGCGGCATTTTGTGAAATGCCAATCATTTTTGCAACACTTTCTTCACCAAACCACGGATTTTCAAACATTCCGTATAACTCTCCACCAAATATCAAAGAACAAGCCTTATTAAATTTTCCCGGAGCAAGCTGAGCAAATAATTTGCAATTCGGGAGTTCATACTTTGCGCATTCAGCAATCTTTAATGCCTCTTGCATATCAGAAAGGTACTCAGGACATACATCATGCTTAATCAAATAATTTAAGAATGATATGACAACAAGAGGCGCTTCGCGAAACTGGTCCATTTGGACGTAACCAGATTTATCGACAAAATAACTTGATAAGTAGACTCGAACAGTATATGCGAAATCGACTTCCAGTTCATCATCATTTTCTTCAATGAAATCTACGGCGCGTCGCGCAGCTATTTCATCAGCATCAGCATCCTCACAATTAAGCCCATCTTGGCCTAAGTAGGATTTTTGGCCAGTATTAATACCACCAAACCGAAGATAAGAGCTAAATACTTGGTTACGGGTCGGGCTGAATTTACGGTTCTTTCTGTATTTTTGAACAGCTATTTCGATTCGTTGGGTTATTGGACGTGTTCTATTGAGCATTATAATTCTAAGTTTGTCAGTAATTCTTAGTAATTCGATTGAAAAAAAAAAACTTACGAATCATAAAGTTTATCTTCGTCCACGTCCTTTGGTCCACTATCGAAAAATTCCAAATCAGCATCGCCGCACCCAGCTTCCTTCTTTTTCTTTTTTTTCTTCTTCTTTTTCTTAATGCTTATGCTCATATTATTAACAGCGTCCGCAACTTCATTTTCCTCTGCATTCACAGTAGTATTATTATTTTTTTCTTCAGTGGCGTCAGCAACTAAAGACATGCTTTAATTGTTCGGAAAAAAAAAAAAAAGAAATGATGCCCAAAATTGTAAAAAAAATGTTGATTTTCTCATCTTAAATATGACATCTTTTTTTGTATTATTTATATCTTGCCGTTACCAGCCGCTTTTACCGATCATTTGATCATATGACCAATCGTTATCGATAAACGAACTGGATAAGTACCGGAAATAAAGAACTGTCATTAGTCGGGCCAGTTTTTTCCGCATCACGCGATGTAGACCTTCATATAAAAAATATGATTATTTTTTAAAACTTTGAGTGATGTTTTCACAACAACCGCCTAATAAATTTCGATAGAAATTTTTTTATTTAAATCTACAAGATTGTAGAATTCAAATAAAAAAATTTTCATCGAGATTTATCGAGTAGTTGTTAAGAAAACTTAGTTCAAAGTTTTAAAAAATTTGGGCGGAACTCTATTGATAGGCGAAATAAATTTTTCCGAAACTTTGAGAGAAGCTTTCTCGACAACAACCTGATAGATTTCGATAAAATTTTTTTTATTTGAATTCTACAAGTTTTTAGAATTCAAACAAAAATGGTTGTTGAGGAAATTTAATTCAAAGTTTTAAAAATTTAGGCGAACTTGATAGACGGGATGAATTTTCCGAACTTTTGAATTAAATTTTCTCAACAATCACCTAATCAATTTCAATGAAATTTTTTTTTATTTGAATTCTATAAATTTGTAGAATTCGAATTAAAAAAATTTTATCGAAATTTATCAGGTGGTTGTCAAGAAAGCTTCGTTCAAGGTTTCGGAAAAATTCATCCCGTCTATCAATAAAGTTTTGAAATTTGAATTAAGTTTTCTCAACAACCACTTAATAAATTTCGGTGAAACCCTTTTTATTTGAATTCTACAAAACAAGTAGAATTTTAATAAAAAAAATTTTATCGAAATTTATCAGATGGTTGTCGAGAAAGCTTCGCTCAAGTTTTAAAAAATAATCAATGCGAAGGAACTACATCACGTGATGCAGAAAAAAAACGCCCTGGCCAGTTCGGAGCAGAATAAAAATAATATGACTAGTAGTTAACTCAAATGTCCGTGCTTCGATATGTCATAAATCGGAGTAGATTGGTCGCGCAACCAAAATCCAGAATATCGACCAAATTCTGGATCGGAATGAATCGGAATTGCAGTAAACCACGCGCTAAATAAATTGCTCACACTAATTTTGCTATAATATACAGTAGTTAGTTATTGTTGTGACTGATGCTAAAATTTGAGCCTATTAGAGTTCCAATCCATTAAGAATTTATCCGGTAACTATCAGATATCCGGATCTGAATTTATTCTTTACTGTTGCAGATCATAATGAAATCAGATCATTGTGAAATTTAGAGGTCTCAATTTAAATATATATCGGTAAGCTACTTATACTCTTTTTCTAATAATTCTAACCCTAACTTAACTATAAAAAAAAACAACAAAAAAGGCCCAAAAAAATTTAAAAACCGTACATAAAATAAGTCAAATTTCATTATGATCCAATTTCATTATGATCTGCCACAAAAACTTATAAGCACACTCCTTTTATTATCTTTCAATAATGAAGAGCAAACTCAGTTAATTCCTTTTAGAATTGCTCTTCAAAGCGAATCAAAATCGCTATTCAACTATGCAAGCTACGTAATGTCCATCAATAGCTTACAATTATAGCAGGACATTGCTCTTTGGCTTCAAGATGGTGGATATAGATTAGATGACAATCTTGAGCATGTCCAAGTTTCAGAAATTCACTGGACCAAGAAAACAAATGGAAAAAATTTATAAGTGGCCAGTTTTTAACGATTTTAATTAAAGAAGCCTTGCCAGCAAAAACTTTAAACATTTAAGTTTAAAATGACCTTAGAAACGAGTTAGTATTTAGTAGTATTTATAAAAATACTAGTATAACACAAACTCATGGAGGTCCTTGAAAATAATTCTACTTTGACCGTGTTAAATTTCGTATACTATCAGTTTGGGTTTGAAGATATAGAATCACTATTAGAAGCTCTTTGTTCTAATAGTGGTATAAAATCATTGATCCTTAGAGACAATAATTTTGGAGCAAATTTATAAAAAATTTTAACATTTCCAATAATGAGCTTCAATCAGCAGGTAGACGTGCTTTTGCAACACTAAAAAGGTTGAACATTTCAAAAAATGTCATTAGTGGAGACACATTAGCTAATGCACTTTGCAAGAACATTAAACAAAAAACTTTGAAAATTTCTTATAACAACTTCGAAGTAAAAAGTGCAAAAGTATTCTTGCACTACACTAAAGGATTTAAATCTCAAAGAAATTTTATTGGTATAGAAAGAGGAATGATATTAGCAGCAAAAACACTGTACTAGAAACCTTAAATACCCATAGTAGTAGATTTGTATCAGAAGATATAGAATGTAACTTTTACTAAAACGCACCCTTATATTAGCTCTATATTATATTATATAAAAAATAATAATTCTTAATTTTCTAACACTAACTCTAAGACCTGCGG